TTTTGAAAAATAGCATTTTTGTAAAAATTTCAAAAGTGTAGCATTTTTGTTGAAAAATGGCATTTTAAATAAAAATGTCTATTATTTTTTTGCGAAATATCGATGTTAGAGTTCATTACATACGTACGATTGTGATAGTGTATTTCATACGATTGTGATCGGCGTTGCATTTAATATCAGAAAAGACCAATTGTAGGAATAATTTTTACATAGTAAAACAAAGACTATTATATGTAAAATCATGTTTTATAAATTTCTCAAAAAAAGAAAAAGGCAAAAGGATTCAAGCAAATGGCACGAATGGAGTCGCATGCTTAGTTGGGGTACGGTAAGCTTTTGTGAGTTGTGTCGTCGCAATGTCATTTTCAAAATGATAGAATTCGCAATTTTAATTAAAAAAAAGAAGAAGAAGGTAGCTTGCATTTTCCTTGTGAGTATAAATTAATACTTTTTGTGACTATATTTTAAACAAATATGAATATTGTGTTTACGATTCTTTCCTTTTCAAAATGTTTCTTACAAAGCATGCAAACAAAATGAGTGAAGAATGTTTCTCTCTATACGTGTCTCGTAAGCCCAACTATGATGTGTGTCAAAATGGACAAATCCCACGGAGGCATGGTCCGACCCCAGTTTATCTCGTGGTTTAACGAGTTTGGGTTCAGTTTTGTTAATTCGTTTAAATAAGGGAGATTGGGTTAAATAACCTAAAAAAAATTATAATCAAAAATCTAATCATCTAAAATTAATGGACATAAATATGTCACATATGTTATTTTTTGTTAGATTACTAATTATTAAAAAAAAATTGGCTAGTGAACAAACTAACCCTATAGATTGGTGGACTGATTAAAACATACCATTTTTTAACACATGCAAATAGAACCGTTTAACATGGCATATATTTATATCTCGAATCGGTTTTCACCGAACACATGAAATATAGTGTGTTTCTCGGAGTTTGGTTATTGGGACGACACCAAACTATGTAATACCGTAAAACGGAAACATTTCCATTCTTTAGGAGTTTAGTTTTCCTCTTTTATTAGGTGTGTTGTCTAAAAAAGCATGACATATATTTCTTTAATTTTTTGTTTTTACTATATACATATATTAGGGCCTATATTTATTGAAAATATTACTGTACTTTACTATTTAATTTTTAATGTCTAATTAATAAAAAAGGTTGAACATGCATGGGCCACAAAATAGTTTGAGACAGCTTGGTTTATCCTTCACTAAATATTCAAGACAAGTGTAAGGGTTTTCCCCTTTTCTCTCCTATAGACTTTTTTTTTTTCTGAGAAAGCAATCCTCTCCTATAAACTTGTTTTTCCTTGAAAACGATGAAACGAAAAATGATATCAAAGAATCGGATTTATCTAAATAAGATTTAAGTGTTTTTAAAATTAATCTACGATGTTATGGTGACTTTTTTTTTATTCCTAGATATTTTTGTTTAAATTTGTTACTTGAAGACTTTCCTTGGTTTGTTATTTTATTTAGTTTATATATATGGATAACTTATATAAGAGTCTCATTTAGCCAATGAAGTTAACAAGTTTGAATTTGGATATATAATATTCAAAACTCAAACCATGATATAAATTGATATGGTTAATTTTAAATTCATAACGGATTGGATTGGATCGACCACCCATTTTCACACCTTTAGGCCTAAACTATATATATTAACTAGAAGACTCAAAAATTCCATATTCATAAAATCTGAGATGTTGTTGGTGAAGGGCAAAATAGTTAGTTGCATGGTCCACACCAAACAAAAGCTGAACTAGACATTGCATGTGGTTTCTGCGAGTCATCTTTAAGAAAATGTGAAATGATTCTACAGATCTGAAAAAACTTAAGTGTTTGTACTCTTTATAGTGTCATCACTTGTAAAACTAAATCATTATTATTCAAACCAGAACCAAAGCAAAGAAACATAATAAAACGCATCTCATGAGCATGCAGAAGAATTTGTTCATTAGAGAGGTAACACTTTTCAATCTTTGATATTCAAATCTCAATTTCTTTACACAATAAACCTGAACTCATCAATAGAGAGAAAACTTCCCGTACAGAGTATTTCATCCTCGTGAGTCATGTCTATTAGGCATATATCAAGCTCGACAAGTGTAAGAGAAGAGAAGTGTAACAATAGAAATGTTAAAAAATATTATATTTTCATTAGTTTCAGTTATCAGTACACTCTTCATGTATATATACAATAATCATTAGTCACCTAATTTTGTAGCTAAACAACCTAACCATATAACAAATTACCACTCGCGAACGAACACTGATAAGGCCATTTTGATAGTAAATCATCATAGCTCAAAAGTAATATTAGAGACTGACTTTTTTTGTCTTTACAACGTGTAATGTTATACGGTATGATTATCTGTATTCTTTACCTTAAAGACTGCAACTAAATTGTTACCAATGGATGTACAAAGAGGTCGAAAAATCTGTGTTTTGTGTTCCATTTTAATGCTTTGGAGAAGTGAAAGATCGAGTATCCCCGAATGTGCAACAAAATGGCAAATTAATGCTCGTAGTATAAATACACAAGCTAGGAAACTGTTTTGCTATGAACTCTACTAAGAGAAGAACAGAACAACAATTTTCCTTTCACGGATTTTTCAATTAGATCAATGAAAATACAAATGAAGAGTCAAGATTTGCAACAACATAAACCCTAATAGGAATTGCGAAT